AATACTCCATTGGCCTAAATCAAGAGATTCATCCACCCATTCTCAATAGGAACGGTTTAAGCAGCTCTTTCCTCCTGCAGCATGGTCATATGCCAAGAGTTTTGACCCATAGACAGCAGCCCAGGCAGCCACAGCCATAAACCAGCTGTGCTTTGGGTTCAGGCCTTTCAGCCCAAAGAGAGAGCAAAGTACGTGCGGGTGAGTCACAGGTACAGCAGCTCAGTGAACCCCGTCACAACCCTGCCTGTTGCCGCACGCTCAGCACCCGTGGGCACCAGCACTGCCCTTAGCTTCCCACATTAGCAGCGCAGCAGCCAGACACAGCTCTCTTCTCTCTGTCTACACCCCAAAACCCCAGAGCAGTAACCTCACGTCCAAACTACTTTCAGCCATTTCAGAAGTGAGGCAGGCTAAAATAGAAATAGCTGCAAAAGTGCTTTTTCCATCACTGTCCGAACAGGAAGCTGAGGTTCTGAAGAAATGCTAGGCAATCTGACAAGCCCAAATGCAGCGGTTTGGAAGCAAGGGAGTTTAACAGATGAGTGAACACCTGGGGGGCGTCAAATCGTGCTTTCAACAACTCGTTCCCAGGATGTAGTCTGCTTGGTTCTGTCACAGCTGGGCTGCAGAGGCAGAGCTGAGGTCTGCTGCTCCCTGCAGGAGTCATGGGATGCGCTCCCCAGATTGCAGGGGTGTATGCAGCTCCTCATGCTGAGTTTTGAGTTGAGGGGGAGCAGCCAGGACTCCTACAGACCATGGCCTATGTATGGTAAACTAGTGTTGAGTTATGGTCCTGAGTCACAGAGGGGAAATCTCATAGCCCTTGTATGCCCAGCACGGCCCCTGAGCACTGATGACCCCCCTAAAGTGCAGCCTTGGGGCTGCCATCTCCAGCATGCAGGTGGCAGGTCAATGGGTAAATGGAAAGCCAATAAATCTACTGGCAGAAGCCATGGCCTGAGTGCTGGATCTGTGCTGGGTGCACACCAGAGCCCAAACTGTGGGAAGGGTATGGAGCGCCCATTCCTTAGTCACTTACGGGTTGCAGACTCTGTCCTGCCGAGGAGCTTGTCCTTGGTGTCCTGCAGGCAGGCACAAAGAGAGCAGTGTGCCCAGGCAGGAGCTTGTCTGAGAGAAGCCCACTGCAGCTGCAGCTGGGTACACAGTGCAGAGCCAGGATATTGCTTAAAGGCAAGCTGGCAGGAAACCCTGAAACTCCTAGAAACACCCCCACTCCCCATTCTAGAAGAAAAACCAGCTAAACAGAGCAGCCAGAACTGGGTCCATCCACCTGGACACCTGTCTAAGAAGATTTCCCTGTGGGATGGAGACTCAGACAGCCAAGTCTAAACAACCTCAAATGCAGGGGGCTGCCAGAGCCATTCCAAGTTCCCATAATGAGAGAACAAATGGTCAGGGCTCAGGCATAACCCAGCTGGCATCACACAAAGGCTGGTGGGGATTCAAGCTGCAGGGCACTGAGCCAACCTGGTGCCCCTTCCAGCCTCACAGCCCCACTATCTCACTGTGCATGAGGCCTGTGAAGCCTCAGGGTCAGCAGGATGTAAACAGGAATTGCCAGCTGCAGGCTGCCGCTAAACAAGCCTGGCTGTTCCCAGCACAGCAAACAGGATGCTGAGATCCCACTGCTGCTGCAGACCTGCGGCACAGAGGAGAGAGGAGAAAATGTGTCCTGCTGGTCTCAGCATCCCACGGTCAGCATGGAGTACGACTGCCTCTTCCCTCTAAAAGGGAACACAGCTTGAACTGGATCAGAGCGAGGGTGGCAGAGGGAGACTGCTGTGGCATGCTTTCCCCATTTGTGAAATTGCAGAACCATTAAGGTTGGAAAAGACCTCTAAGTTCATCCAGTTCAACCCCCAGCTCTCCCACCCCATCATGCCCACTAACCATGTCCCTCAGTGCCACATCGCCACATTTCTGAACACCTCCAGCAACAGTGACTCCACCATCTCCCTGGGCAGCCCATTCCATCAGGCATGGCCCAGCTCTCACACCAAGCTCAGCTCCATATGGATGTAACCCCAAAGCCACTGATCCTACACTGAGCCGTATCCTGTCATCACCATGGCCCGAGGCAGACACTAATGGAGGCAGGGATTAAATAATCACAAGCCCACTCAAATAGGCCCAGATGAAGTTTTCATCAGGATCTTAAAGATGTGGCTTTAGGTAGGTAGAAAAAACTCAGTCACAGCCCTGCAGAAGGAGGAAGCACCAAGTAAGGCAGCTTTCCCACCCAGCAGCTGGGGAAGTGGGGGAAGGAAGGCTGTGTCAGCCAGCCCACGCTATCTCTGCAACCAGATGGCTTTGAATGCTTCCCCAGAGCAAGAGAGGGCCAGCCTCTGCTTCGAATGGCTTTTCACACCCCCTCATTAAAAAGTAAAAGGGAAGAAATGAACAATCTATAAATGCAGCACTGGGAAACAGCTCTGCTAATTCTATTTCCTTCCCTGAGATTACTCAGGGCAGGACACCAAGCATCAGGGCCACATCACCCAATTTGCTTATTGTTAGCCTACAGTCAGGAGACTGGGCACCAGCCCAAGGGCATACATCCCATGCTACTGGGTTAACCAACTGGAAGGGCCCAGGCTCTTACACCTGAACTCACTGCTTAATTGCAAACTTCCCAGCACCAGGAGCAGAGCTCCATGGCTCACAGTTCCACGATGAGTTCCCCAGTGGTGTGGCACTCGCAGAGCCAAAGAGAACCCTCAGGGAACCTCAAGGTTCAAGTTGAATACTAGGAAGAATTTCTTCTCAGAAAGAGTGGTGATGCAGTGGCACAGGCTGCCCAGGGAGGTGGTGCAGTCACTGTCCCTGGAGGTGCTCAGGAACAGTGTGGATGTGGCACTGAGGGACATGGTGAATGGGAATGGTGGGGATGGGATGAGGTTGGACTTAGATATTCTTAGAGGTCTTTTCCAACCCTAATAATTCTGTGATTCTAAGGTACCCGAGGCCACCAGCACAAACATGCTGTGGTGAAGACCTGCAGTCAGCCTGGCTGGGATGAATCATCCCAAATTAATCCACAGAGAATGCTGCCCTCTCTTGGACCCAGTGTGACTGGCACAAATTCAGGAAAACTGAAATGCCCAAGACTTGGGCGTTTTATGGAGGAAAGGCTCACAGAAGGAACTAGGAGTGATGCTCATGGGGAGGAAGAGCAAGGAGATGAAGGCCAGGAAGGTCTCTTGAGCTGGTGAAGGACTGCAGGATCCTTACCAATTCTGCAAGTTGATGAATTAATGCTTTCACCAATAAATTCACTTTCCCCAGTATACCTGCAAAGGGGAGTGGAGCACCAGGGGCTCCCACGTGCCCATGCTGCCGGCTGGGTGCCAGCCAGCCCTGCCCGCTGCCTGCCGGCTCCTCCCTGCCTGCACTTCCTCCTGCAGCTCACAGCTCCCACAGCCTGCCCAGCTCACCAGGCACTGCTGCACAAGAATCCCAGCTTTCAGCAATCAGAAGCGGCAGGATTCAGAGAGCCACCCTGGAGCCCACTCTCCCAGCATGCGGACGCCGGCCGTGATGATCGTGGGACTGGTGCTCTGCCCCTGCGGGCTCCTGCTGACACTGACAGGCACGCTGACACCCAACTGGAGGCAGGTGAGCCTCATTCCCAATCAGCCCTCCGACCTCATCTTGGAGCAGGGCATCTGGGACCTGTGCAGGGAGCGGCAGAGCAGCCATGATCGCCTCTGCGGGCAGGAGGATGAGCTGGGCTACTTCAAGGAAGTGCCCGTGCAGGTGGCACGAGGCCTGATGCCCAGCTCGCTGGTGCTCACAGTGCTGGGCTTGGTGGTGGCTGCCCTGGGGGTGCGGTGCTGGCAGAAGGAACCCCGTCACGCATTGGCTGGTGCTTCGGGGCTCGTGCTGCTGCTCTCGGGGCTGCTGAGCCTGGTGCCTGCCTCCTGGTACACCCATGAGCTGGAGGTACTACCTGCACCCTCTGATGCCACGCTGGCTGTGGGTTACAGCTTGGTGCTGAGCTACCTGGGTAGCTGCCTGGAGATCCTGGGGGGAGTGGCCCTCACCCTCAGCTTCCACCACTGCTGCAAGGAGCGCAGGGCATCCAAAACTCCCCCTAGCCCTGTTCTGGAGCCTGGGACACGCTCCATCACTGGGGCCTACAGCAACCCCTGGGATGTGCTGGAGAATGAGCGAGATGGGCGGCGTGGGAGGAGCACCCTGCCTTGTGACTCGGACCTGTAGCTCCAGCACAGTGACACATCTTGAAGCTCTGCAGGCAGCCATGCTCCCCGCTCTGCAACCGTGCCAAAGCTGTACTGGCTCCAGCCCTGACTCCAGCCCCTCTGTGCAGCTCTTAGCTCAGTCCCCCGTGCCATGCAGGGCTAAGGCAGCTGCAGTGTTCTCATGCGAGCAGGCCACCAGTTAGTGCTGTGCAGCCTGCAGGGTGGGGGACCAAATGTCCCAAATGTCTCTTTAGGGCTGAGCAAACATCAAAATAAATGAGGAGGAACAGCTCTGCGCTGCAAGGTAGTTATGGGCTCTCTGCCAGGCACACTGGCTGAGAGCCAGCAAAGCACGCCAACCCTGCCCCACCGTGCTTCACCTGGAGAAGGGAGGAAAGGTCTGGAGGAGGACAGGTGGCTTTTATAGTTGCCTTCCCCAAGGACTTTCCCCCCAGGGTTAAAAGCAGCTCAGGAGAAGGTTTCTCTTTCCTTGAGCACAGCCACTTTGGGGGGGAGAGGGGAGGGAAAGTCACAGAGAAGAAAAATAGCACATATTTCTCTTTCCATAGTTAGCTTAGTGGGAGGCAGTAGAACTGGTCCCACTGGTTTGTGAGAGACAGCTGTGCTATAAAATCCCTGCAAAAGAGGGCAGGAGCCAAGCCTGGCCGGGATTGCCTACAGGACTGTTAGGCCACATTTCCACCCTTTATGAGCCCAGAGTGCTCCCTCTTCCCTGTCTCCCACACAAACCACCACAGCACAGAGATGCTGCACGATGTTCCTTTATGGAAGTACAGTGTTGGGGCGAGATGGTCCCTTCCCAAGCCGGGTTGGCAGCTCCTGCACAGACCACAGAGAAGTGCATTAGGGGCAGGTTTGAACCAGCCTCCCTGGGTCCAGAGGGCACCCTGGCACAGGGGTCATGGACAGAATGGCCAGGCTGGATGGGGCTGTGGGTAGCCTAATCCGGGGGAGACAACCAGCCCACGGCAGGGGGTTGGAGCTAGGTGGGCCTTAAGGTCCTTTACAACATAAGCCATTCTGTGATTTTACAAGGAGCATCCTGAGCAGGGCCAGCTCACCTCTTTCCCGTCATAAGCTTCATTCACAAAGGTATCACTCTTGGGTGGAAGCTCTTCCTCCTCCTCATCTTCTTCCTCAGGGTCACTTTCACGGTGGTACAGGGTCAGCACTCGGGTGGAGGCAGTGCTTGAGGTCCTGGGGGAAAAAGCAAGGTACGCACAGGATAGCAGAACCATTTCTCAGAGACAGAGCAGATCCCTAGGTCCTGTCACAACCCACAGCATCTCCCTGCTGGGCTGTTGCAGCTCTCCATATAGCCATCCCCAGCCCAGCCCTACAGCTCACCTTCTCCTCCTATCCCGCTTCCGCATGTAGGCCAGGGCCCCCACGGCTGCCGCAGCCAGCAACAGAAGCACAGCCACCCCTAGGGTGATGGGGCCTGCCAACGGCTGCACCTCTGCCTCCTCACAGTAGTCCCCACGGTAGCCCAGGGCGCAGTGGCACATCACCCGCCCAGCCTCAATGGCACACTCCCCGCGCAGATTGCATGTCTCGCTGCTGCACGGCATGGCCCCCAGCACCTCCTCTGTGTTTGGGGTTGCCAGGAAGGCCTCTCCGTGCTGCCGGGGCCCAGGGGCTGCAGGCAGGCTGGGGCTGGGCTGCTGAGGTGCAGCTGAGGGCACAGTTGATTTCTCCTCTTCTGCACGGGCTGTCCTTGATGATGATAACACGGGGACCTGTGTCTTTGCCTCCTCAGAGATGCCTGCAGGGAATGAGCACAAATCAGAGCACCAGGATGAGACCCCACGATGAGGGATCTCTGGCATTTCCTAGCAGCATGCAAGCACTCACAGTCCAACTCATCGGAGCCATCGGTGCAGTCGGGGTGCCCGTCGCAGACCTGCTTTGCAGAGATGCAGCTCTGGAGATTAGCGCAGGCTTGCAGCAGTGCTGGGCATGGTGGAACTGGAGCACAGGTCACCCCACGTACCAGGTGGTATCCATGGGAGCAGCGGCACTGCCGCCCTGCAGGGTTGGGCAAGCACAGCTGGGCACAGCCTCCATTGCTCTTTGTGCAGCCATTGGTGCCTGGTGAGACAGAATCTGTTAGCAGGGCCTCTGCGGAGCTTGATGCTCCAGGTGCCAGGGGCTGGGGCACCCCCAGACCTACCTTCCTGTGAGAACTGGCTGTAAATTCTCAAGGCCACCAACTCTTGTTCCATCAGGAACCACCAGCTCTTGGCCTGCTCCAGTCGGCTGTGCCAGACCTTGCTGGAGCCTGGGAACACACAGGATCAGCACTGCCTGGCATGGAGCTCCTCTGGCCTGCCACTACCCTGTGCCCCACGGGGCCTGGGACAGCAGAAGCCGGAGGGAGCCCAGCAGTCCCTCGATGGCCTTACCATTGGTTGCGGATGTTGACCAGAGCAGAAAGCCATCTCCAATGGCAAAGAGCCTGAGGCCATGTAGTCCCTCCCGCACCAGCCTGAAGTGGGAACCATCCAGCTCTACACTGCCAATCGCACCACGCTCTGCAGACACAGACACAGGGGGTATTAGGTGTGGGACATAGAATGCCACCTCTTGTGGACATGCTGCATTGAGCTCCACTGTCCTCCATGCTGCCCCACACTCACCCTGGTCTGCCCAGTAGAGCCGGGTGCCGGAACCCCCAAAAGTGAGGCCGGCAGGAGAGTGGGCTCTGCTCCAAACCACTCTGCGGCCACTGCCGTCCATGGCTGCGCACTCCACTACAGCACCAGGCCTGCGGCTGCCTGCTGCTGTGATGAAGCACATGGTGGATGCGCGAGGGCAGAGGGCCAGCCAGGCAGCACCCTGCAGCCCCTCACTGAGCAGCATCAGGGCCCACCGGCCCCCAGCTGTGGCTACACGGATGCTGGTGGGCTGCCCTTCAATCCAGTACAGGTTTCCGCTCAGCCAGTCCAGGGCCAGGGACACCACCGTGCCCTCCACAGCAACAACCTTCTTCCAGGAGAGTCGGCCCGAGTCCTTCAGGCGCAGCATCCCAATGGAGTTGCCCCCCACCTCAGCAAAGTACAGGCTTTTGTCCTTCACCATGTAGTCGACAGCTGTCAAGCGCACTACCTTCGCCAGAGGCAGGGCCCGGTGTGGGGGGAGGCCTTGGGCTCCAGCTGTTCGTGGCATGTCCTTCAGGTAGACCTGGAGGAAGGAGTCAGCTCTGGTACCAAGAGCCTGCTCCCCAGGAGGGAGCTAGGAGACCTGGCTCTGCGGGGATACCTGCATCACGGCTGCTGGTGACACCAGGAGGGCAAAGGCTGAAGTGTGGAAGGGCAGGCAGGTGGTCTCATCGGCAGCCAGTGTTAGCCCAATGGGGCATCGGCACTGCCCAGCATGCCGGCTGCTCAGCAGGCACAGGTGGGAGCAGCCGCGGGCTGTGCATGGGTTGGGAGCTGCCAGGTGCAGGGCTGGGTGCATCACCTGTGGGGAAGGACAGGCTCAGCCCAGTGTCTAGCAGCAGAGCTGAGCACAACCAGTACCATGCCAGGCTATCAGCCCAGCATGGAGATGCTCCTTAAGAGAATGGGTGATTCTCAACCACAGGGACCACAGAGACCAGAGGATCATTTGTGGAGTAGGTGCAGCTCTCAATGCCACCCAGGGTGTGGCAGGTTGGGAGCCCCAGCAGTGAGTACAGCAGGAGTCTGGGCTCCCCACATAGGTACCTGAAGGCCATGGGGCTGCCCATGTCGCTTGAGCAGCACTGTCCTATTCTTGCCTGTGGCCTTGTCCACCTGCTGCACCGACCAAGCTTTCCTCTCTGACCAGTAGAGCTGGTCCTCACACACAACCGCTGCAAAAGGACTCTGGACCCATCTCAGCTGCAGCACCTGGAGGAGAGGCTGTGAGTATCAATGCCAGCACCCAAGCCAGCCCCATAACCAGAACCCCCAGCTGCACACCTTTACATCGGTGCCATCCAGATGTGTGGAACCAACACTGCCCAGCTTTTCATCCAGCCAGAAGAGCCTCGAGGTGGGGAGGTCAAGGGCTAGTGCTGTGGGCCAGCCCAGGCCTTGCGCCAGCAGCACACGCTGCCGCCTTCCATCCATGGTGGCCTCCATCAGACGTGGCTGGTTCCCCACCTCTGACCAGTATAGCATCCTGGCAGGAAGAAAAGTGCTGGCCCACAGACCTGGCACTGCCCAGTACCAGGGCAGCACGGAGGGGCAGCACGGAGGGGCAGCACGGAGGGGCAGCA